TCAAAGATTCTATCAACATATATTGCCTTGTAGCGAATTGCTACCTTATTAAAGCCTGACTGACTCAGAAATCTCTATGGCAGATGCTCTACATCTAGCTAGACTCCCAGAACCAGCTAAACCATGGCCCAGCTATAAAGGAAACAGACGTGTAGCACGGGGCTCGCTTATTCAAGACGTATATCGCGGATCAAGTGTACACGCATGGAGCTACCCATGATCAGGATGGGGGATTAGGTTAAACAGAGGTTGACGATTGGTCACTTTCGTACGGTCGCTGCACACAGAGTTGTGTGGCCGCACCTCCCAATCCTGGCGAGCAGACATGCAGGCATACGATGACGCACAACGCGATAACGTGTCCCACAAGTTCAATTCAGATTAGTTTTTAACGCTCGTTAAAAGTGGGTTAACTTGTTAAATACTCTGATCTTGCGTTAAGAGATGTGTTTAATTTAGTAGGTTTTAAGGAAGACCTAATCGCAAATCATTCATCACTTAAGCTAAATTCATATATAAATTCTCTTAACACTGCTGTCATATCGAGTTTTGGGAGTAATCGATAATGGAGGCGAATACGTGTTGCATCTGCCAAGAGGATTTGAAACAGCCAATAGCGAAACCCGACTGTTGTACGCACGTATTTTGCAGTGAATGTCTGCATCTGTGGCTCTCTCGACAAAATACGTGCCCGCTCGACCGATATGTGGTGAATAGGATTCACATAATGAACAATCTCGACGGTCCAGTTGTTGAAACGGTAAAATAAGTACAAATTGTAATTACTTTCGAAGACGCCTCACCTTTATATGCTAGAACCAAGGATTATGCAATAATCCTTAGTTTTACTATACATTCGTATAGGTAGCGTGCTACGCGGAGAAGTGTGTGCAGGTCCTTCTTTAAGTTGGTGGATAGAATAGGCAGATTCGATGAAAATGGTTCTCACTTCAGCTACATATTCTAGCCTAGCGCTGTTGATTCATGACGTTGTCGAGAAGTTCGTAAATTGTCAACCTAAAATATGCTTTCACTCAAAACTAGAGCTTGGTGTTTTGTATAATGTCACCATCGTAGACTGTTTCACTCAAGCCATCCACGAATTGTACGCCTGAAATAGTCATCTATCATAATTACTGTTACAACGATGTCTTCGATTAGTCGAAATTGTCGATCTACTGCCTCCGAGTATTTGCGTTGAAGTAAGGACTTTATACTCGCTTCGAATCATAATGTGTAATTTGCACAAGCGTGAAGGAAATTTTGAAATCCGGAGTTGAAAATATTGGCTGCAATAGAGGATTTGCTTGAAATCCGAACTGAATCAACTTGACCATGACCTTGAGTTTGCAACCTTGTTGGTTGGTTGGTCGGTGAAAAAAGTGCAAATTAGAAGTAGCTTTAAAGGTTCTTCAATGGCCTACTTCCTGAGGCTTGACCCTACGCCTTGTGATGCTCACGACTATATATGCGCCAAGCCATTTGCTCGACTTCTTAATTTCAGTAAATGCGCCACTACGCCTGTTGAAACAACTTGCTAGATATTGGCACCTTCCAACCAAATCACTTTCACTTAGCTCATCTGATTTCCCCCTACATTTTTCATGTATTTTAAGGTTCCCATCTCAAATCCCATCAGCACTCTTGAAGAATCGCACTTCGTGGACTTTTGGATGTCACAATTTGGATACACTTTACTCCCTACAGAGCCTAATACTTGGATACTAAAATTGGCCGAGGTGGAAGAGGAGTTACACAATACGCTTCGACATCTGCTGAATATTGACGAAGATCTACTATCCTATATTGATGAACATGTGAATATTTACCAGAATCTAAATTGGAATGAAGAATCGCTCTTTCACCTTCACTTCTATATCAATGAAGTGGGTTATCGGTAGATTTTAATTAACTCCATTTGAGATGCTGGTTTATTATGAGTTGCTGAATAGTCTTCGTTATTGATATTTGAGCATTTTTTTTGAAATAATTTCTCTTACTTTGATAGCTTTCTGAACCACAATTTTACGAGCGTTTAAGCTCTGAAAACAGGAGAACTTTTCAACGATTGCTCATCAACTTTGGTCCTCGCGTACTGCGATTTTTCATAGAATGTTCCAGAAAGGTTTGTATAGAACCAAGGGGCATTCTTCTCACTTCTTATTTAGAAATCTGCCAATCCATCGCTTTGTTATGCTTGTATTGGCAATACATTCGCGCACACACACATATCTGAATACCTGTTTTGTTAAATTCATTTAATTTTAGTTCGGCTTTGTATTACCCTACCCTGACGATATCGACTTAATAGTCTACGGATCAATGTCAGAAGTAGTTGAAACAACAAATGCCTGTCTCAGAAAATTCATCTCAATTATTGATACGGTAAATATTGGACTTACATCAATCCACGTACCGCGAGAAGTGCTGGAGCTATCATGTTAATCCATCAAATTTTAGATGTTGATATTAGACCCGATTATTCCCGGTGATGTTGAATGAAATTATGATAGCCAAGTTGGAATTGCACCAAGCGTCATCTTTATTTCCGCCGCAAGTTAGCACACTTTGAGCAGCGAGTACTTTTTTGCTCAGTTTTTTTCTGGAATTGTCAAGTTACGCTATAGTTACTATTGCATTTTTATCGTATCATAACATGCTTGGCTCTACATGCGCAATTTCACATTAAAATTAACCCTGAACTGATGAGCGTGTTATAAAGGTAGAATACCCACTGCTTTGGCAACAACATTCAAAGCTTGAGAAAATAGGATTTAGTGGAGTGCATCTAGTGGAGGGAAGTCTTTAATGAGGAGTTTCAGATGGATCGTAGTTGGCGGCTGGTGGATTAGATAGAAGGCAGGAGTCGAAGAGAAAGGATTCGTGAATCGAAATACATCGGAGATTGGGAAAGGCACTTATAATGAAATACACATTCGACGGACAATTGCCACTTTTTAAAGCCTCATTGTGGATTCTGCGTGTTTGGGGAAAATTAGAATGAGGAGTAAAATGGGGTTGAGGGAACCAGCAACTAAGCAACAAGAGGTTGCGTATTAAAATTGCAAACATGCAGTTGTCAACTGTCATTAAATGCCGTGAACTTTGCGGTAGGTGGAGTAAAATTTGCACCCTTCTTCGTTCACTGCTTGATCCGTAGCACATCCACACTTTTATAACCATTCTAGCGTTCAAAAGGATTGTTTTGGTCAGTCTTGGAGGAATTTTACATTCTACAAATTTCTGATCTTCTAAAATTAAGATTAAGGGTTCAAATTGTAACAATAGGATCATTAACATCCCTCTATTGAATATGGTTGCCATTTTCATAAAAGAGAATTTTTATTTTAAAAAAATTCATTGTTTAAATCAAGGGCACTTAAAATGGCGATTAATTTAAACAGAATTCAATTTGAAATATTCCGAATGAGTAGTATTTAAAACTACTTAGAAATTAATATTCTTAATTAATTTTATAAAAAAATATTTAATTAAGCATCAGAAATTGAATAACACAATAAATGTTCTCCATTCTTTTTTCTGATATTGCTAGGGTGTTATTTTAACCCAGTGCTTGTTTCAATTAAACTCCACTCTATATTAAACTGATATTAAAAGTGGATTTGCCTTAAAATGTCCTTTTTCAGTAAATATAATTTTAATTAAGCCGATTTCTTTGTTTTAATTTTCTTGACATTTTCCTATTTAGTGTCCAAACTATCTTTCGCGGATGATGAAGTAGATGGTAAAGAGATTTCTATGCAAAAGATGAGTACTGTGGAAGTAGTCGAATATGACATACAGTAGGGGTGATGGTTGTTTGAAGTGAAAAGTCAACTACCGATTAATAGACTTTTTTGCCGTATGAGTAGACGATGCCCAAGGTGCTCCACGTGGAGGTAAGTCTAAGTCTTTTAATTTTACCGATTTAAAAATGAAGATCCCCCCCCCCCACTGCCTTCTATTTCACACTGCTTTATGACTAATATCAATTTCGCTTGAAGCAATAACAAGTGTTGCATAAATAGATACCACAAGTCAATTGGATAATGCCAATAAAATTTGAGTTCAAATAAAGGCCTCCATCCCTAATCAATTAAACTTTGAAAGATTACTTTAAGGCTAAATTCGAGAGGAGTTGTGTAAGGAAAACTGGCATTATTAAAATCCAAACTAGAAGGAGGATCTTTTTCCTGGAAAAGGTCACGCCAGAGGCACTTTGTAAGCACCAAATTAAAATTTTTCTTCCATATTTGTATGGTTTTATGTTACTATCATTTGACAAATGAATAGAGGCAATGTAATTCTGTCTGATAGAGTTGTCTATCATTTGCCAGACCTTAAAATTTCAATAATTACTTTAAGGTCTTATTAAGTGTTTGTAAGTGTGAAGATACAATCTCATAGCCGGACTTAACAGCTAAAAGACCACCGTAATTTAATAGTACTTAATTACAAATATTATATTAAATTAAAATTCAATGCCTTTTGAATGCACTATTTCATCACTCTAATAAGTGGTCATTGCTTGACCAACAAAAATCAATGGTTTAAGACATTTGAAGTTAGCATTGCTTCTTGTTACAAGTAAACTTAAATTATTGAGAAATTTACTACTCAGGTGTGTGCAGCCCGCAAAAGTGGTCGTATGACGGGCCTGATACCACCTTCGGCCAACCTGGACGAGTGTAAAGGAGCAAAGCGATTTGATCGTATTGTCACGTCATGCGTGCATTGAAAATGACAAACAGTTGAGTGTCGATAAGTTGACAAAAGTTAACAACACTTGACATGAAATTGGGCTTTCTTTTACCTCCAGAGCCCATGCTCCCGTAAAAATCTTAATGACACTGTGCATCAGGAGAAAATCATTATTATTATTATTATTCTAGCCTATGACGCAAGAACAGAGACTTGCAAGGATATTCTTTCACACCCCCCCTCCCCGAGCTCGACTCTTTTTCAAAAAAAAGATATTCACTTTTCATATTTTCTACTATCAATCAAACCTTATTATTAAAAAGATTAATTATTTATTTGTTGCTAATGATAATAATCATAAAACTATTATTGTTTTCCGTGGCAAGATGGGGGGGGGGATGGTGAGGTGGGGATTTACATGACTGGCGTCTGAATGAAGGTAATGCAAAAATTGTCTTAAAGGATATAAAAGAGTGGCCTTCGAGGTGAAATAGATTGCGAGTCCCAGATTAAATTCATTTTTCTTCTCTCTAGCTAATGTGTTTGTTGTGGAAAAATGCACCCAATCGAACTTGCGCGTGTCTCACAGCAGACTAATGTCAACGTAACGAGTTTTGGTGGCGAAGGCTAGAGACATTTTGAACATGTTTCAAATGCCAATAGCACCTTCTGTTACGAGTCTTGGAGAGCGTTAAAGGATTAAACATTTGGTTTCCTGGATAGGGTTATTTAACATTACACTCAGACTTTATTACCTAGTCTTAACAGTTGGATAAAATTGTAGGCCTACAAACTGACAATGCAAATACATTTTTCGAGCAGAGATAATCCAAACGCGGAAGACTATTTTCCGATTAGGGCTGAATGAATGTGTTAAAATTGGAAAAAAATAGAGTCATAACATTAAAATAATCCTAATCTTTCTGTATTGCTCGTGTAATGTATATAGCTCAATTTACTACAACCAATCGAATACTTTTAGTACCTTTCGCTGCAATGATTGGCTAAGTAAGTAGCCAATCGTTTATTAAAAAAAGACAACTTCTTCATGATAAAACCTATTTTGTTCTTTAGGGTAGTTTTACAAATGGCAATTAAGCAGTTATAGAACACTATGTTCAAACTGAATTCATGAATCTTTCCCATGGTATTGCGTGCATATTAACCAGTTGGGTGAATTTATTTCGCCCCTAATAGTGGTCAAAGTTGATCGATTGATACTAACTGTGATTATCGTAAATAAAAAATCGAGTAATTCTGATATTTGTTTACCCACATTCCCGAAAAACAAAAGGATATAATTCCACCAGAAGAAGTATTTTAGTTAAAACTTCTTCACTTGCAACACAGTAGAGCTCGAATAAGCCTCTAGCAAACATGAAAAGTAATAGAGATTTAGCAGAGTATGGATTTAAACATCCAACCAATTGGGATTAAGAAGGCTTACCCTCGGTTATTCATCCATTAGGATGATTTCGGATTGTAAACATATAGTGGAGGTAATTCATAAGTTTTGGGAGCCCTCAATATTGGAACAGATACGCTTTTCTTGCCCAAAGGAATCTCGATCCCATTGTAATACACTGGAGGACGTCGGGAATTTTCAGTGCATTGGACATAAAATGGGACAGCTCGATTCGGAGAAGGGATTGTAGTTGGATAGCTGCATTTGCGAACATCCGGGAGAGATAGCGATCGTACTCGACTGCCTGCATATTCATTGCCAATATGAGTGGTAAAAGTAGTAGTTCGATCGATTAAAATAGGAAATAATTAGTGCATTATTCTAAATTAAAACTTACAAAGTTGATTATGAGTGCTCTCGAAGGCCATGTACCTTAGGTGAATAAAAAGAAAAAAAGTTAATTCGTAAAAAAATGATTCTGAGACTGTATCGGTGACGATCACTCAACCACCAAGGTGAACATAGTTTAAAACCATTTTCAACTAGAATTCTATAGTATTTTGGGCAAAATTTTAGCAGATATCCTATTAATAATTTCAAATGTATTCAATAACTTGTTATTTATTTAACAGTCATCATTTAAGAAAGTAGCGAGATGTCAACAGTACGCATTGGGTAAATCTTTTTTAATTCCTGTTTGACTATTCATTATTTATATATCGACTTAATATTTAGCACTCTCGCATCAAGAAATAATTTCACATTGCAAAATACACATTTTAGCATTCTTTTTTAATGATACAGTTTGCAAAGTGGTCATTTTGAATGGAATAAGCAAATAGATGCTCAGTTTTATTTTGATAAAAAATGTGGCTAATGAATTAGCAGTGTAATTTTCTTCTCATTAATGAAAACAATCGCTAACCCAACGCAACCTAAATAATTTTTCTCTATCCAATACAATTTCATTTTTTAACTATTCGTATTTTAATAAATTTACTAAAAAAAAATATTCCGTAGCATAGTGCCACAATTTTAAGCGATATATTGATTTTACTCAGGCAAAAAATTACCAACGTTTGTTTAATATGCATTAATTTAATTTTGTGAATCAAGATTAAAGCAGGTAATAAATTTGTTGAAACGTCTAAATGAGACATGATTGGTAACGTTTTGTTTATGCTTGCAAAAAAAAGGAAAATTAATTTCAACCACAGGCTTCTATTTTCAAAGATATTTGAACAGTAAGGATTGGATCTGAGTTCCATAATTATTAGAGCAATTGGTTTTCAATTTAATGTTAAATTAGACCTGTGATTTTTTCCATCATCTTGCTCTTCTCAAGGACAAAAACTGCATGAAAAGCTCTAATTCTAGGGTTTTAACAATTGACAGATTATCTTCTGATTACTCCTTCCAAATACTCATAAAAGGAAAAGCCTGCCCTTTCACTCCAATCTAATTTAATTTCACACGGATGTGCGATAGACTTACCTCCACGCGGTGCACCCTGGGCAACGTATACTCGTACGGCAAAAAAGTCTATTACCTGGCAGTTGACTTCTCACTTCAAACTATCATCACCCCACTGTATGCCATATTCGACTATTTCCACAGTACTCACCTCACCTTTTTTCTACCTTCGTCTTTGAAGCACTCTTCTGTCCCCCCCCCTCTCGATTTTTTCCCACTTTGATGTTTATTCCCCTCTGTGAAGCCTGATGTCAACAAAAGAACTAATGAAAACTATCAAAACGCCTGTCATTTGATATAAATAAATATCATTTCACACAGCACTCTATTTTAGGAGGCTACATTACACTAACGCGCAACCAAATGTCATCGGAGCAGTGGGAATTCCTTTTCTTCTTATTCAACTGAAAATAAATCAATCTAGAAATCAGGCCATATTACAATAAATGTTTATTTAATAAGTTATGACACGAGGTTTTAGTAGGTCAAGTTAGAAAAAAAGCAAAAAAATACGTGAATGATAAAGTGAAATAATATATATCACAGTATGCTCTCGGCCTTCTGCTGTAAGGCAAATCATTCCACATCGCATTGCGTTGACGGTCGAGTGGCAAATACCTCGGGTTCCTTCGGTAAAAGCAACCTCTTCTCAAGAATACATCGAATAAGCCAATCCGTGGACAAAATATCATATCCACCTTCCCTCCCTCGAGCTGTGTGCTTCTGGGTTGCTTCAACCAAGTTCGAAACCTAAGAGGATAGGCCAAAATACGCATCAATACTAGCGTACCTTGATGGTCACCACATCTGCAATTACATAGTCAGTCGCAGTACCAGGGTTTTGGACCACCTTTCCACTCATTTTTACTATCGCTCTTTCCAAATCACTCTTCGAGGTAAGATTGGGGGTGGAAGGAGCATTGAATCGGGAGGATATGTAGAGGCAGAATTCGAGATCTCTAAAGGCCGTCGATTCAACTTCCACCTAAATTGTAGATTAGTAAAGCAAGAAAACTTACTGATTCCTCTTCCAGGGAGCAGTAAGGTGCCAGAATAGGGCCTACTGGCTTCGATCGCTTCTGAGTAGGCTTTGTCGTTGGTGTATTGTTGGCTGATGAGAAGTCAGAAGTTCTTGGTTCATCAATATCGACAGAGGTACTATCACTGTCATCATCCGGGGGATTTCCTCTCTTGGTCTCAACCATTTTACCCTACGGCATAAAAATCGGAAGTTACCAAGTGAAAATATCTACGTGTTGTGACCTAGAATTAGGTCCTCCTTTTGCTTAGATTTATGAAGTAGTGGAGTGTCATCTGTTGGGAAAGAGGCTGAATACTCATGGTTTATGGATATTAGGGCGGTTCTGCTGTTTGGGGAGTTTACTTATCACAGAAGACTCACTCGATGACACACTAATCACCAAGCATTTCCACTACCAGGGGTCACGAGTTCGATCTTTCATACTCAGCGAATGAAATGGTCAATCGCATTGATAGCATTCGGTAATGTAGGGGGTGGCAGAATTCGTTTCTCTCACTTGGAAGAAACCGTGGTGCCATTCTCATCTCAAGATGAACTTTTAAATACTTTCCTATATGGGCTTAGGAATTAATTATGACATATTGGAAGGCGACCCAAGCTGAGATTGGCTGACGAAACATAGGGTCACAACGAAATTAGGTGAGCTCAATTGAAAATGTAAGTAAATCATTCTCTGGGTTTTACTTCTGCTAGAAAAGTAGAGAGTGATGCTAATATCTTACATCCGGGGTGTGCGATAGACTTACCTCCACGTGGTGCACCCTGGGCAACGTATACTCATACGGCAAAAAAGTCTACTAACCGACAGCTGACTTCAAACTACCATGACTCGTTTGACTGTATCAAACATTCGAACACTTCTCCAGTACTCACCTTACCTTTTCTCTGCATTTGTGTCTATCTGTCTCTTTACACCTGTGAATCACTCTTCTTTCACCTTCTCGAACTTCTCTCACTATGATGTTCCTCCTCCCTGTGAAGTCCGAAGTCAGCTAAAGGGCTAATGCTAACTATCAAAACGCCTACCATTTGAAATAAATAAATAAACATCCGGGCACAAGGAAGTTAGTTCGCATTAAAGTGAAACAATACCTTAGTGTCATGGTAAAGGCGCCTAACTTCCGACACAGATACAACCGTCTCCCAATTCTTGTCTTCCCGAATGGCGGAAACCCGAGGAAATCTGAGCGTATATCCAGCGGAATATGACGCACTGGGGGTCATTTCGGCAGCGTGAATCTATAAGGCGCAAATTTAATCGATTTTTCGCTTCCTCTCACCTGCAGAACAAGAGAATGCCGAGGTGGAACCCAGAAATCAGGTCGCTCTCCTTTAACGCAAAGCCACTCTGTAGCACCGCTGTTGATCTTTCGACGATCATAAGGTCGCCAATGCGACTCTAAGCGTCGGTTTATGCTTTCTAGTTGTTCACGCTTTAATCCATTTGTCACCTATGAGAAGACAATGCATTAGTGGAGAATAGGAACCAGTACCTGGCAAAATGTGAGAAACGTAGGGATATCTGAAGTATCCATCGCCATTTTTGCTCGCTTACTCTCTTTTTCACTAGATTCATCGTCAATCACAGCACAAAGGAAGGAGAGGAATCGTGTCTGTCGAGTAGCAGCGGCTGTCACACTTCCTGCAGTGGTGTTATAAGCACCAACGATCAGACAATCCAAATCAGTGCATAGACCTGCGACATAGTCAGGTTTAAGTTTCCACCAGCCAACTTGATTTCTACCGTTAGGAACGTAAGTTGTGCAGAGAGCCTTAGCCACCAGTCCTTCAGCTCCATGTTGAACCCAGGTGTCAAAGTAACGAGCAAGTTTTGTCTAAAAGAACCATCACAATAGTTCGTATTTCATCAAGTTATATCCCAAAGACCGAGGACAGCATTAAGATTGAACTAACCTTATCAGGTGGACTTATCACGAATCCCCCTAAGTAAAGAGCTCCTTTGGTAACAGTGAAGAGAGAAAGAAGTCTATCTTGTTCGAGTTCTTCAGGTTCCTCAGCATCCATGGTTGAGTCGTCAGTGTGGAAAGGATTGAAACAATTTGCTACTTGTAAAGAGACTTCTTCGATGGTGAAATCGATTGAAGGAAAAATGGTGAGGAGAAGTCGTTTGCGTTCTGATAGAGGCTTTTCAGTGAGCAACTGAAATTAATCCAATAGTAAGCACAGGCCTGTGACTTTTAAAACAGTATCTGGGAATAATGTACCTATTTTCTAGAGTCTGAAATGCAAAAATTGAGGCAATCAAGTGATGACATGTGGAGCGAGTATATTCTTTGTGAATGGCAAGAAGGGCTCAACCACGAAACATAATGTCACAACTACGGGGTGCGATAGACTTAACTCTACGCGGTGCACCCTGGGCAACGTATTCTCATGCGCCAAAGTCTATAAACCGGCAGTTGACTTCTCACTTCAAACTACCACCACTTTAACTGGCAGTTGACTTCTGACTTCAAACCACCATGACCTCACTAAACTGGCAGTTGACTTCTGACTTCAAATTGCCATCACCCCAAAACCGGCAGTTGACTTCTGACTTCAAACTACCATGACCACAAGTCTATCAACCGGCAGTTGACTTCTGACTTCAAACTACGTCTATCAACCGGCAGTTGACTTCTCACTTCAAACTACCACCACCTCACTCACTGTGTCATATTCGACTACTTCCACAGTACTCACCTCACCTACAGTTGACTTCTCACTTCAAACTACCATGACCCCACTGTACGGTAGTTGACTTCTGACTTCAAAGACAAAAAAGTCTATTGATCGGCAGTTGACTTCTGACTTGCAAAAAGTCTATTGATCGGCAGTTGACTTCTGACTTCAAACTACCATCACCCCACTCTATATCATATTCGACTATTTTTACAGTACTCACCTCACCTTTGTCCATATTCGACCATTTCACAGTACTCACCTCACCTTTTTTCTTAAATTCGACCACTTCAACAGTACTCATCTTACCTTTTCTCTTCGACTTCTCACTTCAAACTACCATCACCCCACTGTATGTCAAATTCGACCCCTTCCACAGTACTCACCTCACCTTTGCTCTACTGTCGACTTCTTCCACAGTACTAACCTCACCTTTTTTCTACCTATTTCTCACTTCAAACTACCATCACCCCACTGTATGTCATATACCTCTGACTTCAAACTACCATCACCCCACTGTATGTCATATTTCACCACTTCCACAGTACTCACCTCGCCTTTTTTCTACCTTCAGTTGACTCTAGCTACCATGACCCACTGTATGGCATATTAGGCTATTTCCACAGTACTCTCCTCACCTTTTTTCTACCTTTGTGTTTGTCTCTTACATCTATGAAACACTCTTCTGTCCCCCCCCCCAATCTTAACCTTTTTCACTTTCTTCACCTTTTTTCTACCTTTGTGTTTGTCTCTTACATCTTTTAAACACTCTTTTGTCCCCCCCCCCATCTCGACTTTTTTCTCTTTGATATTCCTTATTTTTTCTACCTTTGTGTCTGTCTCTTTTACATCTTTGAAGCCCTCTTCCGTTTCCTCTCCCCTCTCGACTTATTTCAATTTGATGTTC